CCGGAATGCAACGTATGAGTAAGGATTACAATTATGAAACAAACTGTACATTTAATGAGCACAGCATGGATGAGTTATCTGTGCAAATAAGAAAAACTGAACAACAGAAATCGATCTGAAGAATAATCCAGATTTTGTGATGCTGATCGCATGCAATCACATGACATTTGTATGTTGTGAATTTTTCTAAAAGCCGCAATCTGGGATTTCGAACCGGCGCGGCAACATAAATGAGCGAAGAGTTTAAACACACTGAACTCTGTGATCATATGTACTACAAATAAAGAAATTCGAAGAGAAAAAAAAGAGAAAGAAACGAAAAGAAAAAATAAAAAGAAACGAAAAAAGAAACGAGTGTTTCAAAAACAGAACAACTAAAACATATGCGATTTAAGCTCTGAGTGCATCAGCTTGTGCAAGGGAAAAAGCATAGGATTCTGATGCAACAAGCACTGAGAGAATGCTCGACTACTATCAATTACTCAAAAACAAGGAAACATCACGAGGTGAGTGGTTCACTAATTTGGACGCCAGAAACCAATCAAAAGTTGACTCTTGAAGGCCCAACTTTCGAGTGAATAGAGACGCAAACATAAGTGCTACAACGAGAAATGGGCTCGACAGAGTAAATTTTCATGCGAATACATCAACTCGATCAGATTCCGATCGTGAAGAGACACGATATCTGTTCTCGTGACGAACACACGATTTGAACCCTTCACCCTTGTTTGGAAAAGCACCTGTACCTTCGATAGACCATACAAACATCAAACTTTCATTCCACAGAGAAAGTGTAAAGGGGATGAAGCAACATTGACAACGCTGAGGGAAAAATGCAAGAGTTACAAGAAAGAGGACGTATTGGAAGTCTAGCTCAAATTCAGCTTTAACCAGTCAGACGTTAGGTTATCAATACACAGTAATCAATCTGTCGAAAGTTTAGGACATGAAAACAACAGAAAACACTTTGCTTATGATCATAGAGATTATGACAGTCGCACTCCAATCGAAATCGTGGCCACAGTTCAAATGGTGTAACTCTGACGCGATTTTACGTACCACACCACGTAGACTACGCCAAAATTCTGCTTGGTGATGATTTCAAAGTTGAGAAGTGGCTGGTGTTGTTCATTTTTATCCATTGCTTTCCGTATTACGCTCATGATGAGGCATGGTTCTGTCCTTTCCAGTGTTTCTACTATTCCTTATTGAAACAGGTTTTCCAGGATGACTCCACACAAAGATGAGGTTAAGACTGAGTCGTTACCACTGGACATAATGAAACAAAGAGCTGGACCGCATTGCATAAGTACGACTCACAATAATTTGCCAGTTAGTCGGGTAAGTTCAATTTGTTCTAGATAATTTGTTTTCGAATGTTTGTTTACATGTTTTTTTTCTCGGGGTTTGTTTCCACTTCATTTCCACTTCATTTTCCCAATTCAGTAATTGTTAGAAGAAATGCGCCCTTGCAGTATTATTAAAGTTTTGTGAAGAGCTTTGTGATTCAGGTGACGGTCCATCCTCTCGTCTTGCTCAGCGTTGTCGATCATTTCAATCGCGTCAGCAAAACACAAAGTGTTAAGCGAGTTGTAGGCGTCCTTTTGGGTTCTATGAAAAAGGACAGAAGCTTGGATATCGGAAACAGTTTTGCAGGTAAGGAGTTGCACTGCGTAGTGTTGCTACGCTTTTTGATCTTGGAGTGGATTCTTGTCATCGCATTGCGCTGTAGTCACCTCTTGAGGGGCGCCCTTCCTTTGACATGGATTTTTGTTTTCATATAGAATTACTATCTTCATATTGTAATGCCCTAATCAGAGTTTTCATTTCTTTCGGAGTAATGCCCTAATCAGAGTTTTCATTTCTTTCGGAGAGAACGTCCAATCCACGAACTGCTTTTAGCTTATGCCGAACGTATGTCAGCACTGTTGCTGATGACGCAACACCGTATAGGGTAGGAGTGGCCGAATGTAAAGACTTTCGAGGGGACGATTTTGCACCAATTGCAGCAGCGACGCGAATCGCTCAGAAGCGATGCCCGAAGCGCGCCGGAGATTTACCCGAGCGGTGCCGTGTGTATCGGTGTTCGGCGGTGTAAATCTACCGCCGCTCGCAACTGCGAGCGACGGGAGATTTACGAACTGATGGCGCCGAATTATCGTTGGTCGGCGGTGTAAATCTCCCGTCGCTCGCATCGCTCAAGCGATCCGTCGCTCCTGCAATTGGTGCAAAATCGCTCCAATCGCAAAGTCTGACATCGGCCAGCGGAGTGGTCGTGACCGGATGTGCCATGTCTTCAAATCGTGGAAGTTTTTTCCCTTATTAGGCAACGTCACACTTTGCAGCTGCCTGGCATTTCGTTTGCAGTTTAAGTATAGTAGACAACTACCTATCATGCAGTCGTATGATCGCGAGGCTAGTGACCGATACTATCTACTCCAATCAACGCTTATGGCGAAGCACCTCATACCGCCGCCTGATCAAAGTGAGAGCTCAAAGTAGCATCCGCAAAGCGTCGCTGCGGCCCAGCGTTTGGCGCTGACGAATACCTCTTTTTAGTCATTCCATTCAAAATTTTGTGATTTTAAATGATTGTCATGATATCCAAAGTTTTTGCTTTTCGTAAATAAGCCCACTTGTGGATTTGAGGCGATTCAATTGTTTGTGTTTTTTTTTAAGAAAGCGTTTTACCACCACCTGAAAGTTTTCTCTTTTTCATACCTCCTGCACACTGTCAACGGTTCTTGGTCTTCTTATGCACTGAGTGCATTAAGCATTACTTCAGAGTTCTCTCCTCCTTTCACGCTTCATTGAACGGATTAGGGGCATGCTTTTAGCTAAGCCTTTTATCGCGTTGACTAAACATTGCAACGAGGCAGACTTTCTTTCTCGGTAGTAATGCTCCTTTGTTGGCTGATTTTGTGCGCTATAGGACTGCAATACTTTAGTCTAATGCTATACCACATCAAGAATTTTTCCAAAGTGATAGAGGAAGCTTAAATGCGAGCAAGCACACCCTTCGTTGCCGTGGGAAAGTTTTGCAGCTTCTCGAATAAATGGAGCCAGTGCACGAGAAAGTGGTACTTTATGGTTACTGGGTTTCTATATAACACATAACACGTCCCTTTGCTGATGACGCACCTCTGCAAAGTTCATTTTAATAGGACTTGAACTTCCCCAATAAAATTTTCCTGAAATATTCCTTGATAAGCAAGGGCAAATCCATATCCGTAATCTCCGTCTTCAAAATATGGAGCCATCTCTTCAACCATAAGCTGAGAAGCAATTGTGAATGCTACAGCGTGAAGTAGCTGCGTGCTTTTCTCTGGGCTGAGTCTCGTGAACACCTTACCGGAGATCACATTCCTCGCTATGCTAGACCTCTGCGGATCGGACAGCTCAGTTGTGGTCAACTACATTACACTTATGAGGCGACTTCACTTGTTGCTAAAAACCGTCATGCACATGGAATCCCACGCATATCGATTCAGCGGATATAATGGAGGATTTCATTACTGTCAGAATGTCTCCAGACTACTTCAGAATGGGGATAGTGCTATAGATGGGCGCCATAAGTAATGTGACTTGTTCCTGTGTTTCTCCTCCTTCTTCTAAGTCCTGTGTGGTTCCATTATTAATTAATTGTGTCTCAGTAATTGTTTTTTAATATCAGAAATTTTCGTGTTCAGTACCATTCGATGAAGATGAAAAAGACAAAAGCACGTGGTTCCTCGACATGGACTACCTTGAGAGTATGTACAGCATGTTCCACAAAGTTGCAGCCAAAGAGAAAATCGTCGGATGGTATCATACTGGACCAAAGTTGCATAAGGTATGTTGCTGAATTCTGACACGTCCTCATAACTCATCCTTTCGAACTTGCAGTTCCACCTCACATATTTTTGAGTATTCCCTATTCTTTGAATTAGCTCTAGTCTTTTTTATCTCTTTTTTTTTGTTTGTAGAATGACATCGCGATAAATGAGCAGATGAAACGTTTTACTCCACATCCAGTTCTTGTGATCATCGAGGCTGAGCCGAAAGATATTGGTCTCCCGACAGAGGCTTACATCGAAGTGCAAGAAGTTCATGATGTGAGGCGTTTCTCGATTTTTGGCTCGTATACTTCTGTTGAGACTTAATTTCTGTAAGGCATTTGAGGAAGAAATAGTAGTTTTAGTTCCTTGGGTCAAACGTGGATCATCGTTCTGCTTTTAATTGTGGTCAATTGTTTGTGGCTTTCGATATTTTGCTGATTGTTTGACGATTTCGATGTTATTCGAGAGCCGCAGCTTACTACTCCTTATTTTACCGTAGAACACTAATTCGTTCCAATTTAAGGCTTAAACAAGAGCAAAAGATGAATTTGCTGAATTGAAAACGATGGCTGTACAATGCGTAGTGCACTCAGGCTTTTTAATCCCTTGCTTCAGATGGAGTCATAACATGATAACAACAAAAAGTTAGAAATGGCATCAATCAAAAAACAAATAGATCTGGTGTTCAGGATGGCACTCCTCCCATCAAAACCTTCGAACACGTAGCGAGTGAAATAGGAGCTGAAGAGGCTGAAGAAGTTGGAGTGGAACATCTGTTGAGGTAATCCCCTTTCCCATTAGTATCTGAAATCCATTGAGTTTAGTGGATCTATGTTCGGATTTTCACTTTACAGAGACATCAAAGACCAGACCGCCGGTACTTTGTCCCAACGGATCACAGATCAGCTGATGGGACTTCGAGGACTACATTCGCAGCTGGTTGATATTGAAAAGTAAGCCAGCAATATTTTTTGGGGGCTGGTTTCATGAAATATAGTCAGGATGAGACGAACCGTGTGTATATTATTATGGGTTGGGGGTATGGTCGAGCCCATATCGCAATAGTATGCCGAACTCTGCATTCCTCCTGCGCTTAGACCTCTAGGGTGTTCATTTTCTGGAATATCGTGTCGTTTTGCGCCTTTAACACGTGATTAAAGTTATTATAGGCAATTTCTGTCATCTTCATTTAACGTAGTGATGTGTTAGCTGAGACTGCATTAGACCGACGTCATAGTCGGCGACGGATCAAGCGATGCAGCGATCGCGATCGCTCCATCGCTTGGTCCGTCGCCGACTATGACAACGGTCTAAATTGTATGGGGTTATTTTTTGATTCAGAATGATTTTTTTTTCGCATATTCACAGTTATTTCTTTTGCAGGTATTTACAAGATGTTGCAGCACATCGTCTTCCGATCAATCACCCAGTCATTTATCACATTCAGGTAGAATTTGTACTTTTGCGAAGGACTTAATATGTAGCGAAGAGGGGTGCTTCGTTAAGTGAAATCGGCTGTATTTGTTCATGCCAAGGATACAGAATTATGTGCGGGTTTCCGTTTTCAGGAGGTGTTGAACCTTTTGCCGGATGTCACTCATCCTGACTATGTGACGGCTCAGAACGTGCAGACAAACGATCAGTTGATGTGTGTTTATATGGGATCATTAGTGCGATCCGTGATTGCGTTGCATAACCTGATTGATAATAAGGTTGGTAGTGGTAGTGTGAAGGTTTTTTGTTCTTCTTATGAATGAAGAACAATATTTGTGTGTTTCCAGTTGGCACTGCAAAAGGCTGAGAACGAACAAGAGGACGGGACCGACAAAAAGAAAGATGAGAAGAAGAAGGATGAGAAAAAAGAGGGCAAAGACGCAAAGAAGGACGATAAGAAAAAGAAGGAGGAGAAGAAAGATAAGACAGTATCGAAAGCGAAGAAACCATGATGAATTTCAATTTGACTGGTGATTGCATCTTGAATTTAGACTGGTCTCGTGTATTACCCCTTTTTCTCGATATATTCTCCTCAGCGAGTATTATTGAGGAGTAAGGAATTAATTGAGCGTGTTTATATCCCTTATTCTTAAATTATTCAAAAATAAACATCCATTTCGTATTGTCTCTCATTCTGGCAGTCATTAAATCATTCATGACCTAAAGACACTTTCCCATTGTTCCCTAAGAGTGAGTTGCGGAGCCCATAAATGTAAGCGCACGTGCTAATGACTAAGCTGGCGATGAAGGAAGTGAAAAAAATCGTCAGAAATTCACAAATCGTGCCCTCATGACATCTAAGAAATGTGCGATAACAGTGCGTGGATTGGCTTAGTAAAATCGATGGGATCATCTCTTCACCATCGATTTTGCTGAGCCACTTTTGCGATTTCTGACTGCACTCTCATTACTGTACTACTTATTCTTATTTTATCAGAGCAGTTACAAGTCATCCTAAGCGGGACTACCAATGGAATGGTTCCCCGGTCAATAAGGCGAACTTAAATAACTAATTGGCATAAATTACATTATAGGTCACAGCTTTCTTTCAAAATCTTGCTATAATGGGACCAAAAAGGGATAGTTCGCTTTTTGTCCGAATGCTCCACAATATGTTTTTTTTTTGAGAATCTTCTCAAGCATACGACAGAAAAAAGAAGTATTACTGCCGCGCCTATAATCTATACCGAGTGAGGCGGTTCCTTTTTCAGTAACGGCTGTAACAAAAGAGTGTTTCCACCTTGAAGGAGCCTCATTAAAACAGAGCGACTGGTTGAATAAATACACCGAGAGTTTTGCTACAACATGCGCTAGTTTCTAAGGTGAGAGATAATCGGACAGGTTTCTAAAGAGAGCATAGATTTTCACTATGGCAACCTGGACTGGGGGGACACAAGGCGTAAAGAATCACATCTATTTAAAACACTCCACAAGACTTGTGTGCTAAAAAGTTGACTTTGTCCTCATCTGAGACTGCTTATCTTAGACTGTGTAGAATCTGCTTTTCAACATACACATCTGTTGTATTTTTAACATACAGTCAGCTTGAAGAAGAACAGCGAAATCCATCCAAGTCATCTGCTGATTAAGAGGTCTTATCGTTAGCAGCATAGAACAAACAAGTCCGATAACCTGTTTTGAAGATAGGGAAGAAGGTAGTATTCAGACGCGAATTACGTTCGACAGGGACAAACACATCTATAGCATGGTGTAATATATTGAGGAATATTTCGTATTTATCATTTACCGAATTTGTAGACTCTAAGGAATCTTTCCGAGCGATGGACAAAGATATCCACTCAAACTAGAGAAGGCACAGCTCTTAAAGTCCCTAAAAGGAGGAAAATGAGGCTCAATATAAGTAAGTACTAGTTACATAAAACGATACGCTATTATGGTCGACTAGCCTACCAATCGGGGTTTTCCACGGACAAACAAATGCTAACAGGCTTTTCGTATTAACACGTTGGCGACGATGTCGGTCAATGGTGACCGACAGCTTGAAAGTAAGCAAACTTAGATGGAACCCGCGACTTTTCTATTTCAACGTTTACTTCAGTGTCCTAACTTACTACACTTGTCTGCGAATTATGATCTTTCTAATTCCTGGGAGTTTTATTCTGAATTAGTTATCAGTGGCAGAAACGCGCTGTCAATTGAATCACAACCACAAAGTTCCCACCGTCAGCAAACTGGAAATCTCACTAAAATTGTTCATATCGACCTTTACTAATTAGGTCACCGTCAGTAGAATGTCCATTTCTAGCCTTAGGTTCCCATGATGGTCAAGTAGGCTCAGTCTTACTCATAGGCAGGACAAAAGTACCTATCCAGTCCATCAACTGCCAAATATTTCACAAACAATTTTTTTGACCTTGAAATGACTCGTTTAAATCTCTTATTCGATCATGAAGAACAAGATAACAGTCAAACAAAAGCTCATTCCGTCAGGTACGCAAAGTTTTTTGCGTCGTTCTTGAGTGAACAGTGTCAGTAGTAACAACTTTTCCTTGTTTCTAAACGTGTCTGGAGTACTCTAGTCAAAGGAATTTTGTGCATTTCGAGATTTTACAGAGCTATAAAATAAGATTTTGCCCTGTGTTACCGGCGCTTTGCATGCAAAAAACGTCTCGTCCCATGCGCGCGACAAGGAAAAAATCGCTCGTCGTCAACGTGTTAAATGAAAAGATTAACTTCGCACGCCACCGCGCGCATGGCATCGAAGGCTTCCGGTGAAACTGGACAGTCGGTGGAGCGTTAGGTTCCACCGGTAAGAAAAATTTCTTCGTGAAATGCGTTAGCTGACTGTCCGCTTGATACGCGCGGTGGAGTACGGAGCTAAAGTGATGTCTGTAAACAACCACCATGCATCGAATGTCAGAATAATTTGGCGGTCGAATAATCTTGATGCTAATAATGTTGAAGTTTAAATACGGTACTCGCCGTAAAAAATCGAAAAACCACGCGAAAAACGCGATTTCGCGTTTTTTTTTCGTTTTTTCGTTATAACTCGGTTTAAAATTGAGATTTTCAAAATCTGAAAACAGCATTGAACTCAGCTCGTCGAGTTAAGAATCCTGTCCTAAAGTTTTCTAGCGGCACTACACTTGGATTGCGCCATGCACTCGATTTTCATCTCAAAAAATGTAGTTGCTCGCATGTGATGTGTATATTATAATCCCGCTTCATGCGAACTGCCGCTACAGATGGGTCTCAAAACTTGCCCCAGATTACGCCACGCACTCTACCCTGGCCACTGCACTGAATGAAATTCCAGATCTCAGGATCCCCATGACAATTTGAAATGCAGTATAACTAAATATGTAGACCCTGCACTCAACACCCCCTTCTGTGGCGTTCTAATGGAATTCATGGATCAGTTTCCAGCGAGATAACTCAAGGTATTCCGTGAGAGATCCCAATATTCGAGGTAATGTTTCGTGGAAATCTCAGAGCTTAGCGTCGAAACCTCTTCACCATTGTAGAGCACCCCTCTTCTGTGTAGAAACAAGATGACAAGCTTGATGGCAGATTAGTGCTCATTTCGTGGTGTGGCCTTAAACAACCTTCTGCGTCTACTGGTGAGATCAAGTTTTATATTGCCTTTCAGAAGCAGTTACGAAGCAGATATGCATACTGTTCGCTTCCACAGGGAAATTATATCGAACGATACACAACCCACTTCGTGGAAAACACCTAGTTTACCTGCAAATTTTGGCCACCACTTGCCTTCGGTCACTGGCTTATGGGAAGCGCTCACTTGCACTGCCGATGAGACTGCCAGATGGT